CGCACGCGCGTGTGCGCGTCCGGGGAAAGATCGACCTGACAGGGGGACTGGGGTCCCGCGAATTCTTTAAAAATCATTTCACTTTAACGCCGTCACTCTCGCGCGAGCGCGTGTGTGTCTGTATGTCTGTGTGTATATGGTCGCCGGGTGTATGATTACGCGCGGCTCGTCATTCCGCTGCGTCCGGCTAGCGTTACGCTCGTAAAATATATAATATATATTTTTTATGTATATATATATATATATGTATATATATAATATACCTTAACTTTTAAAGATTAACTCTGTACAAGAGCGCCTCTTCGTACCCATTTTTTAACCTAGCCTCTCCCTTCGAAATACTCCTACCCAACAAAGGGAGACACGTCACACACGCCTCTAAAATAGTCTCTCCTCTCTCTTTCTCTCTGGCTATGTCTCTGATCGAAAGAAGCCAGCACCAGTGTCTCGAAAGCAGTGGGTGGTGCGGTGCCCTTACGCTTTCGCCGACCCTCTGGGGCTGATGCCGCAGCCCTTAAATGATATTTCGTTCGCTCGTGTGTGAACATTCTGTGTGTGTGTGTATGTGTGTGTAGACGGTTGACGCGAAGAAATAGAAATTGGATACGGTGGACTGCACCCAACACGGAGCAGCACGGCACGTTCGTGCCGTCGAGGTTTTAGCTCGAGGACAGGAACCTGTGTATGCTTCTTGACCGAAGGAAATTTTCCTTCGTTCTCGAGCCAAGTGGTCGATCCACAGGGTGGCCAGTCATTGGTAGAAACCAACGAATGACGGCACCCATACCGAGGATCATCAGTCGTACACTGAGCCGGGCGACCAAAAGGGGACTAGGGCGTAGGGCGGGTACCACTGCCGGTCGTTTGATTGTGACTCTTGTTAGATGTTGCTCTTGGAGAATGACACTCTCAGGTGGTTGGACTCGCTCAGCTGGTAATTGTGCATTTTCTGAAACAGATGGGTGCAAACTTTTATTAGTACTCAATCGATGACTGGCTCTATGTGGAACTTGGTTAGGTTAGGCTAGGGTGCAAACTTTTATTAATACTCAATCGATGACTGACTCCATGCGGAATTTGGTTAGGTTATGTTAGGATGCAAACTTTTATTGATACTCAATCGATGACTGGCTCTATGTGGAACTTGGTTAGGTTAGGCTAGGGTGCAAACTTTTATTAATACTCAATCGATGACTGGCTCTATGTGGAATTTGGTTAGGCTAGGTTGGGGTGCAAACTTTTATTAGTACTCAATCGATGACTGACTCCATGTGGAATTTGGTTAGGTTAGGCTAGGATGCAAACTTTTATTAATACTCCATCGATGACTGGCTCTATGTGGAATTTGGTTAGGCTAAGTTGGGGTGCAAACCTTTATTAGTACTGAATCGATGACTGGCTCTATGTGGAACTTGGTTAGGTTAGGCTAGGGTGCAAACTTTTATTAATACTCCATCGATGGCTGGTTCTATGTGGGACTTGGTTAGGTTAGGTTGGGGTGCAAACTTTTATCAGTACTCAATCGATGACTGGATCTATGTGGAATTTGGTTAGGTTAGGCTAGGGTGCAAACTTTTATTAGTACTCAATAGATGACTGGCTCTATGTGAATTAGGTTAGGTTATCTCAGTCTGAAGTTTTGCAGGTTAGGTCTCTTTTGCTACTGTTAAGGTTTTGAAAGGTGGATGAAGGAACACTCAGACACTTTACATATGGGTCAGGTTGAGTTGAATCACATCCAGTGGGATCATGTTCAGTCGAATTTAGGTTATGTTTTAAATTTTAATGGCGCCAAATTTAAATCTGACGTTGAATTAGGTCACACTAAATTTCTCTCAGCTAAAGAGTTATAACAGCTCTCGAATAAGCCTACGGAGCTGCCCTCTAAGTTTCTCCCCACAGATATTTGCAGAATAGAGCGTATAAACGCAGAATCTGGATTGATGAACGCTGGTATGTCAGAAGATTAATTATGTGAAGCTTGACAGGAACTATAATAGTACAGCATTATAGGTATACCTAATATCAACGTTACATTCTGCTGGAAACGAAGTTAGAAGCGATTGCCAATGACATAAAGGCAATTCCATTAGCTGGTAACAAAGGTAAAACGACAATGGCGTTACGCAGTCGCAAGTTTAATCAGTTATTTATAATTTTGCTCAATTGCATCACAGCCAAATAACACGGCACCGGCAACTAAGCTAATTACAATTCTGATGAAATTTCACATCGTAAATAATGAACATGTTATACATTTGCAAGCGACTCGCGAACTGGGAAATAAAATGAGAATTTCTGGGTTATTTAGACACGTAATCGACAGCATTTAAAAGTACTTTTATATCTTTTTAATTTATAGAAATGGTGAGGGGGAAATTAAAAATAAAGAATACTTACGATCAGAGCAGCGACAGCATCGTCCATGCTAGGCATTTGTATGAGCGCCATTTTTCTATCTTTCGGAAAGAACTTAAATGCTTTTACAGTGAAACCGTTCTTGGTAAATGCATCTCTAATTTCCTCCTCGGTTACGGTAGTTCTGAAAATTGCAATAATCATGATCATAACCAGTTAACATGACTTGAACCAATGTTTAATCAATTTCCACTTACGGAATATTCGATAAGTGCAGTGTGGCACTCGGTGGGTAAATATTCTGGTAGTTCTTCGAGCCCGGTTTCTTGAATCGATGAAGAGGACTATTGGTGTAATCCTTCGTCAAACCGGCATCGGGTTGACCTTCCTTCGGCAATTGAACCGTCTGATGTTTGCTCAGCATCACCTTGATCTGCTTTCCGAATACTCTCAATTTGTCCATGTGTGTCAATGCTGTTCAAACGCAGAACACGTATGTATTAACCGCGAATCAAATTCTAAAATCAATATTAACCTTCGACGGAGTCAAAATGGCGTTTCTAGTACTACTTTTTTACTGTATGACTTGTATAATAAAATAGTGTAGGAAGGAATTTATTTTTGGGAAATTAATATGGATTTAATCCGTCGTCTTAGGGTTGAAACTTAAGCTAAAAAAGTTTGAAATTTTACGAATTTTTTTCTCAGAAACTATTCAACCGATTTAGCTAAATTCTTTTTTGTTTTATTCACGAAGGATTGGGCTATTTTAAAACATTTTTTTTAATTCCGTCAATTTATTATGAATTGTCGAAAAATTTAAACAAATTCTTTTTCTATTTTTTTTTCAATGAGGGGCATTATAAAATTTTTCGACATTTCATAACAAATTGACGGAATTAAAAAAAATATTTTAAAATAGCCCAATCCTTCACGAATAAAACAAAATAAAATTTAGCTAAATCGGTTGAGTAGTTTCTAAGAAAAAAATTCGTGAGTGAAGCCTATTTAAAATGCGGCAAAATGAGAAAAGCATTGCATGGCCATATAACGAGTGGCCACATAACGAGTTATGACCACGTTGCTATTAAGAACAATTATGAAAAAAAGCAATCCTATGAATGCAGTTCATAATGAATAATATTCAGTTCATATTTTTATGTAGGTTAAAATGAAACAAAAAATGATGAATCACAAATAATTACCTAGGTGAGCTTGATGAGGTTCGGCCATCTGAATGAGTGCCGAGTCCTTCTTGTTGTAGAGTATCTTCACACGCTGTACATCCCCGTAAACGCCTACATGCACAACACGCAACATTTTAGTCAAGTTCCAAAAAAATCGATGAAAAAAAATTTGTAAAGGGATTACCGTCGAGAACAGGACAATAATAATAATCGATCGAGATCGGGGTACGATCGGACTAAGATTTGGGACATGCAACTAGGCGATCGGTTCAGCCACGTATTAAAAAAACCGTGAATTAATCATGAAATATATTATTTGAACGGTTAGGGTATTCATATCTCAGAATATTATGAATAAGTAACGGGGAAGTGGTTGAACCGTATCACCCTCGAGAAATGGAGTATTACGTAAAATAAGCGAAAGCTTATGTAATATTAAGGTGTCTGGAACTGATATTAATAAAATATTAATGAAACAATTTAGAAGAGATGCTTGGAAATAGAGAACATGAGAAAACTGAACAAATAATAATAATAAAAAGTAAACAAAAAAATGTGTCGGTCAAAGAATTTATATATATTCATATGATCATGATCGTGGGTGAATTTGTACGAATGATTCAAAAATAAAAAAAAAAACACTAATCACCGCGAGACACAGAAAATAATAATAAAAAAGAAAAGGAGAGTGACAATGAAAAAAGTAGCTTGGAAAATGGAAATCGTAACAAAGAAAATAGAATAAAATCTTCTTCACTCTCCAGAAAAATAATAAGAAAATATTCTCGCAAAAAAATTGTTCCGTGTATATGTGTCCGTGTACATGTGTCGGAGAGAACGCGAGTGTAAATATAATAATTAATAATGTAATATAATTAATAATATAAATGTGGAGACGTACCAAACAGGGTAAAGAGAGCGTCAGGCGTGACCATCTACACAGAGAACAGACAGAGTCCAGTCAGTAGTCAGCGAGTATAATAGGAATCAATGTAAAAATAGTGTTGGCACGCGCACAAGTTTCACCATTCATGTTAGGGTCATTCACGACCCACAAGACCATTCGAAACGAATCGAATCGCTTCCGTGTATTTTCACATCGTACAATATTTAACAAAAAATATAGTAAAATTCAAGCTAGACGCTTTTGCTTTCGTACTATCTTACTTTGAACTATACTGATTAATAAAAGTTAGGCGCGAACCGTGTCCGTTTGAATTTGGCGAAGATTTTAAGAACCGAAGTTTGATTCGCGATTCGAGTGTCTACGCGTCGATTTGAAGCGACGAAAGGGCTGGAGTTTTCAGCCACAAAGAGAAAGAAGGAGAGAGTAGAGAAAGCAAAGAGAAAGAAACGGGACCTTCTCGTCAATATGAATCCCTCGTGATAAGGGTTAAAAATGTGAATAAAAAAAATATGTATATTTATTCGAAGAGAGAGGCAGGTAAGTAAAACACACGATTGCCAGAGGAGAACACTTGGTCGGAAGCTTGTGCGCGGCGCAACGATAGTAGTACACATAGTTATAGTATAGTAGTGACAATAGTTGCAGCTGCGAAGTGTGACGTCGACACACAGTTTGAGACAACTTTCGTTTTCCACAATTTTACAGTTAAACGAAAGATGCCTCGACGGAAGTAACGTCGTGACGCTACGATTACTTAGGAGAGGATGACGTTCGGACGATTTCTATGCGTTTCGAAAATATGAGGGCCAGAGGGTGAGATATAAAGGATGTTGACGTAAAACAGGGCGCATACGCATTGAAATCTCGATTTTCATCTTGTCGAATCTTTTACATTGTAACAATACTGTTAAAATTGTTGAGTAATAAAGAAATACAGTAAACTCTCGTTATATTGCCGTTTTCATACTACTGCTCATCAAGGAATAAATGCAATAAATTGAACACTTTTAATCTTCAAATATTGTACAAGTTTAAAAATCGTAAAGATTTTGGGAATTTTTAAACAGTAATATTCTCTCGTTATATGGCCATTCGACAAGGGAAATTCGAGCGGACGGAAACTGCTATAGGGTTGCCTACGTAGCACTACGTTATAATCATGTCGTTGTATTTGCGTGGTTTTTGTTGTTTGAGTACGTACCTAAGCCAGTTTCGTGTACATAGGCAAACACCGAGAGAAACGGCTGAATTTTCTGCGTCGAAAAACAATATTTGCAAAACTCGGAAACCATTCGCGGAATGTTACGTGAACCGTGGCAAATATTTGGAATTTATGTTTCAATTTACTGCCATATAAATTAAATTACATCGAGTTTCGAATATTCTCGTCGATACACTAACGTTCTAATTGAAATCATAATTAGATGGCAATTAATGAAAAACAGTTTATTCTCAATCGAGATGTAATCGAACGGAAATTGATATGGTCGTAAAAATAACGTCGATGTTATTACAATTATTGTTAATTAAAAATGAGTCAACCCCTTCTCTCGGTGTTCATTGAAAGTTATTCTAACAGAAGCGTACAGCTCGTCGATAACGAATTAATATTGATTTCTCCAAATATCGACGCTGTGTACGCTTTGGTCGTTCATTTTTAGACACGAAGAAATTCTTGATGAAGATTCTGGTCATTAAACGGAAAAGCAATTAAACAAACTACTTCACTTTAACTGTGACGTTAATTAATTTGGCGATGTTAGGACAATTTGAAATCACCTACACTTTAAATTCTTTGAGGCTCTAAAATTACTTGAGGCTCTAAAATTATATATTCTGTAGAATTACTTGAGGCTGCAACAATTATCTGAGGCTCTAAAATTATTTGAGGCTCTAAAATTATTTGAGGCTCTAAAATTATTTGAGACTATAAAATTATTTGAGGCTCTAAAATTAAATGAGTCACTAAAATTCTTTGAGGCTGTAAAATTACTTGAGGCTCTAAAATTATATATTCTGTAGAATTACTTGAGGCTGCAACAATTATCTGAGGCTCTAAAATAATCTACGCTCTAAAATTATTTGAGACTGCAAAATTATTTGAGGCTCTAAAATTAATTGAGTCACTAAAATTCTTTGAGGCTCTAAAATTACTTGAGGCTCTAAAATTATATATTCTGTAGAATTACTTGAGGCTGCAACAATTATCTGAGGCTCTAAAATAATCTACGCTCTAAAATTATTTGAGACTGCAAAATTATTTGAGGCTCTAAAATTAAATGAGTCACTAAAATTCTTTGAGGCTGTAAAATTACTTGAGGCTCCAAAATTATATATTCTGTACAATTACTTGAGGCTGCAACATTTATCTGAGGATCTAAAATTATCTACGCTCTAAAATTATTTGAGACTAAAAAATTATTTGAGGCTCTAAAATTAATTGAGTCACTAATATTCTTTGAGGCTCTAAAATTACTTGAGGCTCCAAAATTATATATTCTGTAGAATTACTTGAGGCTGCAACAATTATCTGAGGCTCTAAAATTATCCATGCTCTAAAATTATTTGAGGCTCCAAAATTATTTGAGGCTCTAAAATTGAATGAGCCACTAAAATTCTTTGAGGCTCTAAAATTACTTGAGGCTCTAAAATTATATATTCTGTAGAATTACTTGAGGCTGCAACAATTATCTGAGGCTCTAAAATTATCTACGCTCTAAAATTATTTGAGGCTCCAAAATTATTTGAAGCTCTAAAATAATACATCAGTTCTTTTCCTAAAATTCTTCCACTAAAAAAATTGTCAAAAAGAGAAAAAAATAGAAGACACGAATCTTCATGAAACTTCTCCGTGCCTTATTTTTCGATCAGCGTATCACGAATGCCCTCGAATAACTTCGAAAGCTGTAAAATTTCAGTAGTGAACTCACCTCTTCGTTCAAATTACTGACGAGTAAGACCGCCGACGTTTGCGCGTTCGTAGGCACACGCACCCCGAGACCAGCCGCACCCAGAGGGAACCCACCGAGTCCAGCCAACCCTCCAGCTGGTGGCACACCGTTGTAAGGCCCCGCCAAGGGCGAGGGCAGACCGTGCATGGCCGCGAAGGGCGTGGGCAGCACACCCGGTGCCCCTGCAATGGACTCTACTTCAGGAAATTTACAAACTGTTGTTAGCACCGATCGACCTTGGAAAATATACGGGCTGTTCAGAAACATATTAATTCATCTAAATTTCTTTGCAAGATTAAGTGCAAGTTTATACATCTCCATATGTGAAATACTTTATACGAGGTACATGAGGTGACAATTTAAGTCTAATTTGCATTTAGACAAATTCCTTTGCATTCTGCAAACATAAGTGCAAATCTACCCATCGATTAGGGTATCAGGTAGAAAGTTCATTTCATTGATATGTGAAGACTGCAGTCTAATTTCTGAACACCCTATATATGTTGTATTGGAGGAGAAGAATCGATGTGGTTGTAGGGTTTTTGAAAATGGGGATACATAGGTTATTTGTAGAATGTCATCAAGTTAAGAGTATGTATGGATATGTAAGGGATGGAATTCATTCATATGTATACGTTAATTTGAACAATTTTTCATAATCAATTCTTATTAACTTTAAATCAAATTTCCACGAAAAATTTGTATTGAAAAAAAAATAATAGAAACAAAACTATGGATTCAAAATGGAATGAAAAAAGCGTGTTCATCGGTGGAGATAACACCTCGTATCGGGTTCCTCGGTAGAGATGCAATTAATTAATTTATCCAATGGAAATAATACCGTCTGACCGCATGCAATTGGATGCCGTTCGAAAATCGAGCTGAAAACAAGCGGCAAATTGGAAGTCGGACGAGATGCTCGCAAAATAACAATTCATCATGAACGGTAACCGAATGGACCGAAATTAATTCTAATGGACTGTACAAGCGATTCATTAATTGATCGATGGTTAACGACGACGCGATCGATCGATAATTCGCAATGTCACGTTCGAAAGTTCAACGAGCAATTTCTAACGAAAGTCGATAAACAACGAGCGATGACGGAATAGTTGTGGAAGGTACTGATGGCAAACCACGAGGTGGCGCGTGAGGTGGACCCAAAGTAAAAGTTAGAGGATTGAGAAACGGTATGTAAGGAGATTTGGTGTGTTTGAAATTTGGTCAAATTTCAGAATTTCTAGATTTCCACATTTTCTGGGGTTCATAAGTTTCTTAGGATCTAAATACTCACGCGTCGAATTACCACGCGCCGAATTACTACACGTCGAATCACCACATATCGAATTACCATGCGACGAATACCCAAGCGTGAAATTATCACGCGGCGAATTACCACGCGTGAAATTACTACGCGTCGAACTACTACGCGGCGAATTACCACGCGTGAAATTACTACGCGTCGAACTACTACGCGTAGAACTACCACGCGTTAAATTACGACGCGTCGAACTACCACGCGTTAAATTACCACGCGTCGAATTACCATGAGTTGAATCACCACGCGCCGAATTACCACGCGTGAAATTACTACGCGCTAAATTACCACACGTTGGACTACCACGCGTCGAATTACCACGCGTTAAATTACCACGCGTCGAACTACCACGCGTTAAATTACCACGCATCGAATTACCACGCGCCGAATTACCACGCGTTAAATTACCCCGCGTCGAACCACCACGTGTTGAATCACCACATATCAAATTACCACGCGTCGAATTGCTACGTATTGAATTACCACGCATCGAATTACCACGCGTCGAATCACCACATATCAAATTACCACGCGTCAAATTACCACGAGTCGAGTTACTACGCCACGAATTACCACGCGTTGTACAGCGAAGTATCATATAACCACTCATAGAATTACGAGTACCTGCACAGTCCCTTGGATTCTTAGGTCCTACATCCCCACATTCAATATTCCCTGCAGACTACAAATTAGAATACCTAGTTCCCATAGTCCCCAGAGTCTCCACAGTTCCAGACCCCCAGATTCCCTATATATCCACAGTTTCAGTCTCCAGTGCCAAGTTCGCTCGGACCTCCACAGTCCACAGTCCCTTTCCACAGTCCCTCGGATCCCCAGGTCCCCACATCCCCACATTCTCTACAGTTCCCGAATTCCCCAGATTCTCACAGTCCTCGGAATCGCCATATTTCCTAGCTTCCCAGAATCCCTACGTTCCCTCGGATCATCACAGTCTCTACTGTAGACAAGCCAGGAGTTGGCGCGTAGGTCGAGCCAGAGTAAAAGAAGCCACTCGCTCCACCTAACCACCGTGAACACTTCCAGTTACATTTCGACAAATAAGAATAATGACCATAACTGCCGAACGCGATTCGCGCTATCTCGAGACGTTTGCCGACTGTCATTTTTGGTCCAATTGGTGCGAGCCGATATACCGAAAAAGGCGTCCATTTTTCTATTCTGATCAATAACAGCTGGGTCACGCGCCAACTAGTGGGTTGACATCGGTAGTTGAAAAATAGACACGCAACGGGACACGGTGAACAAACAGTTCGCGAAGGAACGCTATAGAGAAAGCCGCGCCCGCGGGCTGACGCGAGCGGAATAATGGAAACACGGAATAAACCGGCCGCGGAAATCCCGGGAATTCAATTTTCATAATGAAAAAACAGCCACGGGGCCGCGGAAATTTCAATTCGACCGGCCAACTTGCCGGCAAATTTCATTTCACGGTTATATTCTCGACCGACACGCTGAGTTTCTTCCACGTTCAACCGTGTCCGGTTAGTATTATTATTACTTAGCTACTGGGGGGGCTAATTGAATCTTCTATCGATTAGGTTATGGTCGCTGCCCCTAACCGTGTCGACGAACGTGGTGTGGCAAGTGTGAATAAATTATGATATCGTTCAACGGGAATGAAGGATAAATTTTCGGGATTGAGGATGTATTTTGATAGTGAGAATTATTGCGACCGGGTGAGTTGCAATTTGTGGAGCTGGGGATTTTGGGATTTGGGGAATTGGGGATTTTAGGAATTGTGATTTGGGAGAAGGTAGAATTTGAGGAATTGGGGTTAAGGAATTTGGGAAATTGGGAATTTGGGGAATTGGGAATTTGGGGAATTGGGAATTTGGGGAATTGGGAATTTGGGGAATTGGGAATTTGGGGAATTGGGAATTTGGGGAATTGGGAATTTGGGGAATTGGGAATTTGGGGAATTGGGAATTTGGGGAATTGGGAATTTGGGGAATTGGGAATTTGGGGAATTGGGAATTTGGGGAATTGGGAATTTGGGGAATTGGGAATTTGGGGAATTGGGAATTTGGGGAATTGGGAATTTGGGGAATTGGGAATTTGGGGAATTGGGAATTTGGGGAATTGGGAATTTGGGGAATTGGGAATTTGGGGAATTGGGAATTTGGGGAATTGGGAATTTGGGGAATTGGGAATTTGGGGAATTGGGAATTTGGGGAATTGGGAATTTGGGGAATTGGGAATTTGGGGAATTGGGAATTTGGGGAATTGGGAATTTGGGGAATTGGGAATTTGGGGAATTGGGAATTTGGGGAATTGGGAATTTGGGGAATTGGGAATTTGGGGAATTGGGAATTTGGCGAATTGGGAATTTGGCGAATTGGGAATTTGGGGAATTGGGAATTTGAGGAATTGGGAATTTGAGAAATTTGGAATTAGGAACTGTAGGAGTACGTGAATGTACAAATTAAAGAATTTCGGAATACGTAAATCCGAAAATGCAAAAATCGTTGAAACTCACCGGGTATTCTAGCTCGCGGTTGCGATCCAGCACCCATCAACAGTTGTGGAAGAAGTTCCCCCCCGAGAGCAAGGGATGCCGCGTCTAAGTTCGCGTCACCAGTTGGCAGAGAAGGGTTGGTGTAATCCCTCGACTTATCGTTGTTGTATTTCACGTTCAAGTTTTGCATCTTGCTGTAATCGATGCGTAACGTGCAACACGAGTTGTAGATGTTCTGTCCTTCCAGCGACTGAAACATAAAGAAGAAGCAATCAATACAATTTATTAATTATTGCTTTATTAAAAATAAAGTTAAATTGTTTCAACTTTCATCGATCGCTCGTAACAAGTGAGTAATGAATTCCCATTTAATATCTGACATTATTTATCATTTGATCGCATTACATTTTCGTACATATATTTACTGTTGCGATGAAATTAATTTTAATGAATTATTCCGGTGGTTTGGCTTACTTCGCCGTGAAACGTGGCTAAATTAATTGCGAAAGTTAATTATACTTGTACTATCGTAACGTTCTTAATTGTATTTCATTGAAACATTACGCTTTTTGGATTTCACAAGGCAGAGTTAGAGAAAGATTTTACTTTTCTATTTGACTGAAACAATTTTTAGTTTTAATTTAAGACAAACGAATATTCAGTAAATTGTTTCTTAAATTGTTTATAAAAATGAGTACCAAAATTTAGAAGACAGAAAAACAATTAACAGATATAAAACTCTGAACGTTCAAAGCAAAATATTTAATTAAAAATATGTTATAATTTCATTAACAAATTTTATTTAGTGACAGCAGTATAAAAAAATCAAATCTTAAATAAAATGTACAGAAGAGATTTTTTTGTACATGTCATTTTAAAATGATTTAAGCAATGTTGTTTATATAATTGTTTAATTTGTAAAAAGATTGCTTAAACATCAGGATTACTGGAACGTCAACAGCCTTTCAATTACGTACGTAAGATTTATTACTTAGAGTCATCTGCCGCTTAAACCGTATCTTGTTCTCCATTTAATTGTAGAACCCACTTCTACCCTTGTAAATTCCACCAGCATCCACTAATTACACTAATTAGACTCACTCTATCTTTCTCAACCCCTTGTTCGAATCACCACAAAACACAAGATCCAACCCCAAATGGCAACCAATCTGTCCCCAAAACGATTCAACGCGAACCACATTTTGCTTCCTTCGTGTTCTCCCTAAGTAACTCGTCAGATTGAATATAATTTAACGATTAAATCAGAGGCGACTCTTCTTGTGTCACAAATTTATTAAGAGTCAAATTATTGACTGATTTGGTGGATAATATCGTGACGCACTCATGATGGATCGGTGACGCACTCATGATGGATTGGTGACGCACTTATAATGGATTGGTGACGCACTA